TCAATCTTCGTTACAAGAAAAATAAACAAGAAACAAAAACAACACCCGAATGAATTAAACAACTTGTAACCAGCACATACACATGTAAGCAAACATTGTAAGTACCTTTATTTTACCCACATGCCGTTTTTTGGATAGAACTTTATAAGATTTTCATCAGCTGGTGTACAATTTAATATTTCTTTTAATTGGCTAATTAGTAATTGTCAGTTTTGCGCAAATAATCTATGCCCATACATTTGAAAGATAACTGGTTCTGTAGTATATTTTATGAATTTAATATTACAGATGGTAAAGTTCAGCAGACATCCGTCGAGGTATTATCTTTGTTTCATGCAATAAAATCAATCAAGTTTGATTTAAGTTTAAAAATTGTCTTAAATTCCGACTTCAATTATATTATTTGATCATTATTTCTTAATGAATGAGAAAATATACAATGTAACATATTATATAATTATGATATAATTATATTGTAGCTAGTAAAATGTACATGCAATAATGTTTTATTTAATTTAAGACCCTGTATGTTGAAATTAAGGTTGTTATCAGTGGTTGTGGTGTTGGTAGTTTTCACTCCGGATCATGACAGTAAGCCACATGGAATTCACCAGAGCACAGTTCAACAAAAGCATCGTTCCTGGGCAGGCTGTCAAGCAATTTACCAGTACTAGGTACTTTCACTTTCGCAAGGAACTGAAACTTCTGTACATACCAGAGCAGAGGTACAGTGCGAATGACCGTAGAAAGGATTTCATGATCAATCTTAGCGAAAGTGACCTGCGCCGTCCGGGAATGGGGCGCCAGATTCACAGTCCAACGCTCTTCCTATTTAGCTGACCTGACGGTTGTTACCACCCTTAAGTGAAATTCTATGTACACATGTATATAATTATGCTTCTATAATAATTTTTGCAAATCGAGAAATATGTAAAATATGTACTGCAAATATTTGTCCACATAATATGTTATCATTAAAATATATGCATTCATTTCTTATTGAAACAATTTACTTAAATAGGCTTTATAAAAATAAATTAATAATTACCTCCCTTTATTCACATGAAAATATAAATTCGGTAATGTCGTTACAAAAAATGCTTTTAAGAACTTACAATATAATTGATAAATCATCATTTGAGCATTATTTTATGATATAAAACCATAAAAAATTTGAGTTACATGATCTTTAATTACATCTTCATTTATTTTACACCATCTTGTTCATAATTTTATCCGATATGATTTGAAAGTAAAAAGTGATTTATATCTTTTATTAAATCTCCTTTATAAGCAAAATTAATGCAGTTTTATTATCCTATCACGGGGTGAGAAAATAAAATGTGCAGTCTGGCCCTGCCTTTACTAACATTCTCAAACTGGGATAAATCTTAACTTTATTTGTTAGGCCATTGCAAATGTGTGAATATTTGAATGAAAATAATTAATCAAGAATGATTGTACATATTTTTTGCACACAGTATTTAACAAAATGCTATAAATTATTTTTAATATGCTTATTATGACGTCATAATTTCGTGACGTCATGAATTAGAGCGCATGATGTCACCCACAAAAGAATCAATATATTAAATTAATAAAAAGTTTATTTGTTAGGCATGTAAGATCAAATTTTAACATAAACATTAACCAGTTGTTTTGCCACATTTATAGACATAGACATTACACGTACAGATCTTTAAATTGATTGGAATAATACCTGGCTATGTGAATATTTTGTTCCATTGCTCATGCAAATTTAGCAAAATAGCCAAAACAAGAGGTCAATGTTAATTAACATGAAGCTATAAAGCATCAAGGCTCCAAGTTGGGTGTCAAAAGTCACCCTGTCCCAGGATAAGATAATTATGCAGCCTGACAGGGACTCGAACCCAGGAGGCCGCTTTAAACATATTCTTAAATAAATGACAAATCTAGACCTAGACAACCGATAAACTACTGTAACACTTACAAAAACAATTTGAAAAAACAATCATTTTTATTAATTTGTTGTTTTTTTTATTGTTATTAATGTATATAATGTATATAAATATTAATGGAAAGTTGCATATGTTCCGATAAAATGAACTCACTTTTAAACATGTATGTATAATCTCAGACTCAACCAGAGGTAGAAAGTATCAATGAGGTGTTTAAAAAAAACAATGAAAGTGAAATGGCTAAGATGTCGGACCTTATTGCTCGTTTAGAAAAAGTAGAAAAAGACGTCATGGAACTGAAATCGCATCCTTCCTTTTCAACAAGACTCGGTATGCCATTCCTATTAAATTTTGTTTTCAACATAATTGTTTGAATTGTGTGAAAATTGGTGAAATACTGATCCTAACACTCATTTAGAATTTAAGAATTCTATAAAACCTTTCAAAGTAAAGGGTTATATGTTGATTCCGATAGAACGCGCTGAAAAAGGCAAATATTTCCAATAATGTATAATTTCAACATATTTTGATAAAGACTATTCAACAACATTTAGACCACAAGAATATCTTGACAAAAAATAAAGCTCGGACAACCTTAAGAAATGTTACTGTCTCTTATGTGGGGTTTGGTAAGATACTTTGCAATTTACTTTAGACAGGGTAAACTTTATGGTAAAGGTATTTGCATCATACAACAATACCTTAACGTCGCTGTGCTCTCTTAGCAAATCATCGTTTTTCATTAAAATATGACTTGTGGTGTTTTAAGTTGTTGCAATTATATTAAAATTGCAAATGTTTGTATAATCCAATTATAATTAACTTTTTGCATTACAGATAAAATAGGTCAAGATCAATTCGAGACTGATGAATATGCAAAGGAAGATCAAACCCAAATGAAATCGGTAATCTAAAACTTTTATCATTTTCCTGGCGGAGGCCGTCTGTTTTCGGTTTAATTTAGAGGGAAGAACTGTATATATGTTAAATAGGTCATTTAACAATAACAATGGTATACACAACTAATTTTTAATTGATGTAAAGGAGTTCAGAAATCGAACTACCTAAACTCATTTATATGCTCTTTTACCATCAAGATTTATTTAAGATATACAATTTCAGTTTAACCATGCTTTCTCCTACACATTATAAGTTCTATATTACCATGCATCTTCCTACAGATTATTTTACGATGCTCTAATGAGTTATACATTTTGCCAACCACCACTTACATTACGTCCACGATACCGTTAACTAATGCGCATGAAATGCGAAAGACACACACAAGTAAACGAACTGATCCGGTATTATCAGTTATCTAGTTGCAATGGATACAAAATTAATAGCTTTTACATATTTATGAAGTATTTATTTAACTGCTAACGATTGAATGGTTTGTCAAATTATTTTTAGAATTAGAAAGCTTACTTTCGGTTCTTTTTTTTTTATTTTAGGTTCTTTTGTTATTTCTAAAGGTGTTGCAAATCTGTTGATTCGGCCATCATGCGGGTATTTCGTATCAACAAAACGTTGTCATTTTAAAACTTTATATTGAAATTTCAATTTGATTAAACTTCAATTTCTTTTTTTTCTTTTCTTTAAGATAAAACGACATTCACAATTATAGAAATAAGAACAATACATGACGGTAAAAATGAACTAAGACGGAACAAATTGAGTACAAAAAAATTATTTTGTTTGTATTTCTTAATATTTACTTCTTTACTTTTAAATTACATGTTGTTTCTATTTAGAATACTTCGTATGTGCCAACAGATGCATATCATTAGAATATTTCAAACATTTAAACGTAAAATTCCTTTATAGACTCAATATCATAACCCTTATGATTATATTACCGTGTCTCCTAAGATATGAAATGCAAAAGTTTTAGTTCGGCCGAGTATACTTCTTGTTACAACTCATTCAAAGCTAAAGGTACATCATGCGCAGGAAACTTATAAATTGTCCGTCCCTTAAAAATGACGTGCATCAGTTCCATAACGTAAAATCAATAGTCTTATATGTTAAATGTTTATTAACTGCAGAAAGTAGTACTGAATGTGAAATTTGTGGTCATTAGTATTAAAAATGTAGACAAAGTGTTTATTTTGACTTCTTAACAAAATACTAAAACAATACAGCTGTACTATTAACCAGAAATTAGCAAAAGCAAAGGATGGTCCGAAAAATTGGCCAATGGATAACATTTTTGAATCCATAATAAGACATCAATGATGAAAAAACTTTGTAGAAATGGCAATAAACTTGAATAAAGCGTTTTTGAGTGTGTACATGTATAATTGAAACTCTAACACTCGAATGTATTTTGTAGCAAACAGTGAACTTGAATTGTAAGTAATTGTTGATTTATAGTAATTTCTTGTAATTATATTACATGATTACATTACATGTATAGCGCTAAAAATAGAATAGAACTTGGTTTTTTATGCTCTAATTGATTGTATTGGTATTCCGGTTGTGATATATAACATAAAGGTACAAAACACATTAATTTTGACAATTCAGGAACAGAATGCTAAAGGGAAATAAACATCCTAAACTGAGACATTAGGTTTAAAAAAAGAAAAAAACCCGTTGTTTCAACTGAACTAATCCAACGGTCATTCCCCACAAAAAGGCCCTCGGGAACCAATTTAATTTAATATTTTAAAACCCTTTTAAAAATTTCCCTATGTAAATTTTTTAATTTTTTTTAAAATTTAAAGAAAAACCCTATTCCCGGAAAAGAAGGTTTAAAAAAATTTTCTTAAAAATTATTATGGGTTTTTAAAAAAATTTTAAAAAAAATTATAAACGGGGTAAGGGGAATCAATTGTTTTTTATTACATTTAAAAAATAATCATTAGAGAAAAAGGGTTAAAAAATATAAAGTATCATTTGGGAAATTGTAAAAAAATTTAAATAACAACCGTCTTCATGTATTCTAGGTCAATTTTCAAAGACAATTATACATAGATTTATGTTTTACATAATTCATGTTGTAATCCAAAGAAAATTTCTATTTTACAGACAGAATTGTGTATGTATACATTAAGTCTCCAAGTGAGGTGACGAAAATGTTGAAAAGGCAATTAATGGAAACATTATATGCTCGTTTAAAGTATATAGGATTTGTGGAAATTCAAAATATAGACGACATTGAAAAAGGACCACCATTGCTTGCTCTATGTGTAAATGCAAGTAGAATGAAAACTGATGCAAGCAATGCAATAAAAGGAGTAAGAGGTAAACTACTGTTGTTTTCCTTTAATTGTTGCAAGTAATCCTTTTTCTTGCCGTCTGTCTGTCTGAATTATTGTAATAATCAAAAAAGAAAAAGATGTAATACAGCGTCTAAATGAATTGCTGAATTGCAAGTTAACACGTTTTTATTCGTGTAAGAGTAAAACTATTTTCCAAAAGTCATATTTTGTAGATATACTTTCAACTGCAAACGTTATTACTTAAAATCTTTTCATTTTAATTAACGTTCTTGTTTTATTTAAGTTGAGGTTATAAATCTTATTGATCATACTGACACATTGCTTCATTCGTTTTATTAGAATTAAAGAATACGGTGCTTGTCATCTTCCATCATGTTGAACATCATGCTGACATGTCCTGGCAAAGCTCTCAGTCCTTGAGTGGTCAACAGTTTAGTAGATTAGCAGGAAAATATGATATGGCCTTCCTTAAAGAAAAAGGTTTCTATCCATGTGATATGAACACTAAAACTGAAGACAGTATTGTGGCTTTTCTTACAAAGCAATATCCTAAACCTGAAAAGGGTAAACTTTCTTCAATGTTTTAAACAACACTATTATGTTAATCGTTCTTTAAAATATTGTATTTATCTATTGAACAAGTGTACAGAATGAATTTGCTATTTTCATAAAATTGCACTGATCGACTTTAATATTTAGATGTACCTGTTGGTAAAAGACATTTCATAAAGACAAAGATCATACAAAGAATATCATTTTATTTGTAAAGAATCATTAAGCAGAACTTGCACAGAACAAACAGTATAACGTGCTGCGTGTAATGCATATAGAATACGTTAGTAATCTGACGGAAAGCAAGCATTAGAATAGCAAGGGAAAGCAATAAAATTAACACATAAGGTAGTTCCTAAATTACTTGTTTTAAATAATTGTAATTGCATGTACTAATTTCAACTAACATGAACAGTATTTTGATGATAAATATCTAGAAAAAAGTAATCACCTGGAAGCAAGCATCAAAATCAACAAAATTTCATGAAAATTGCAGACTCGGTTATAAGGGATAGTAAAACAGTTTAACATTTAAAGCTGCATGCCTCCAGATGAGTAAAATATTTCAATAAAATCAAATTTGAAAAATATGTACTGATATTTTTGAAAAAGTAAAATAATTCAAGATTCCAGTAATATTTTACATGTTATGTGCAATAAATGACTGATTTTTCAGTATTTACAACTATATTTCTACTGCGTTACTAACGCAGTAAGGGCTATTTATGCATATTTTTACCACTTTTTTGTTTTCAGTGCCATTGAAAATGAGTAAAATGCTTCTTTTTGGTTATTTCACAATATTGTACATTCAAATACATTATCAAAATTTTCATGAAAATAAGCATGAATCTGGAGGCGTGCTGCTTTAAATAACGTTTTATCAGTTGCTTAGATTTCCAGTAAAAATTTATGTGAATACCAATAACTAAACTGATTTATCATTCAATGAAAATGTATCATCACGAAGAACTGATGGCAATTCATGATAAAGTTTAATTAACTGTTGATGTGTATAGAATACGTTAAAGAACTCTAACACTTATTTAATCACTATCAAATTTAAATTTGAAATAACCAATCATTACTTGATTTATTTCGCCAATGATTGACTATAGTTTAGTTTTTGCTGCTCAAATAATTTTCAGATTAAAAACATATTTAATATTACAGATGGTAAAGTTCAGCAGACATCCGTCGAGGTATTATCTTTGTTTCATGCAATAAAATCAATCAAGTTTGATTTAAGTTTAAAAATTGTCTTAAATTCCGACTTCAATTATATTATTTGATCATTATTTCTTAATGAATGAAAAAATATACAATGTAACATATTATATAATTATGATATAATTATATTGTAGCTAGTAAAATGTACATGCAATAATGTTTTATTTAATTTAAGACCCTGTATGTTGAAATTAAGGTTGTTATCAGTGGTTGTGGTGTTGGTAGTTTTCACTCCGGATCATGACAGTAAGCCACATGGAATTCACCAGAGCACAGTTCAACAAAAGCATCGTTCCTGGGCAGGCTGTCAAGCAATTTACCAGTACTAGGTACTTTCACTTTCGCAAGGAACTGAAACTTCTGTACATACCAGAGCAGAGGTACAGTGCGAATGACCGTAGAAAGGATTTCATGATCAATCTTAGCGAAAGTGACCTGCGCCGTCCGGGAATGGGGCGCCAGATTCACAGTCCAACGCTCTTCCTATTTAGCTGACCTGACGGTTGTTACCACCCTTAAGTGAAATTCTATGTACACATGTATATAATTATGCTTCTACAATAATTTTTGCAAATCGAGAAATATGTAAAATATGTACTGCAAATATTTGTCCACATAATATGTTATCATTTAAATATATGCATTCATTTCTTATTGAAACAATTTACTTAGGCTTTATAAAAATAAATTAATAATTACCTCCCTTTATTCACATGAAAATATAAATTCGGTAATGTCGTTACAAAAAATGCTTTTAAGAACTTACAATATAATTGATAAATCATCATTTGAGCATTATTTTATGATATAAAACCAAAAAAAAATTGAGTTACATGATCTTTAATTACATCTTCATTTATTTTACACCATCTTTAATAATTTTATCCGATATGATTTGAAAGAAAAAAGTGATTTATATCTTTTATTAAATCTCCTTTATAAGCAATGCAGTTTTATAATCCTATCACGGGGTGAGCAAATAAAATGTGCAGTCTGGCCCTGCCTTTACTAACATTCTCAAACTGGGATAAATCTCAACTTTATTTGTTAGGCCATTGCAAATGTGTGAATATTTGAATGAAAATAATTAATCAAGAATGATTGTACATATTTTTTGCACACAGTATTTAACAAAATGCTATAAATTATTTTTAATATGCTTATTATGACGTCATAATTTCGTGACGTCATGAATTAAAGCGCATGATGTCACCCACAATAATGAATCAATATATTAAATTAATAAAAACTTTATTTGTTAGGCATGTAAGATCAAATTTTAACATAAACATTAACCAGTTGTTTTGCCACATTTATAGACATAGACATTACACGTACAGATCTTTAAATTGATTGGAATAATACCTGGCTATGTGAATATTTTGTTCCATTGCTCATGCAAATTTAGCAAAATAGCCAAAACAAGAGGTCAATGTTAATTAACATGAAGCTATAAAGCATCAAGGCTCCAAGTTGGGTGTCAAAAGTCACCCTGTCCCAGGATAAGATAATTATGCAGCCTGACTGGGACTCGAACCCAGGAGGCCGCTTTAAACATATTCTTAAATAAATGACAAATCTAGACCTAGACAACCGATAAACTACTGTAACACTTACAAAAACAATTTGAAAAAACAATCATTTTTATTAATTTGTTTTTTTTTATTGTTATTAATGTATATAATGTATATAAATATTAATGGAAAGTTGCATATGTTCCGATAAAATGAACTCACTTTTAAACATGTATGTATAATCTCAGACTCAACCAGAGGTAGAAAGTATCAATGAGGTGTTTAAAAAAAACAATGAAAGTGAAATGGCTAAGATGTCGGACCTTATTGCTCGTTTAGAAAAAGTAGAAAAAGACGTTATGGAACTGAAATCGCATCCTTCCTTTTCAACAAGACTCGGTATGCCATTCCTATTAAATTTTGTTTTCAACATAATTGTTTGAATTGTGTGACAATTGGTGTAATACTGATCCTAACACTCATTTAGAATTTAAGAATTCTATAAAACCTTTCAAAGTAAAGGGTTATACGTTGATTCCGATAGAACGCGTTGAAAAAGGCAAATATTTCCAATAATGTATAATTTCAACATATTTTGATAAAGACTATTCAACAACATTTAGACCACAAGAATATCTTGACAAAAAATAAAGCTCGGACAACCTTAAGAAATGTTACTGTCTCTTATGTGGGGTTTGGTAAGATACTTTGCAATTTACTTTAGACAGGGTAAACTTTATGGTAAAGGTATTTGCATCATACAACAATACCTTAACGTCGCTGTGCTCTCTTAGCAAATCATCGTTTTTCATTAAAATATGACTTGTGGTGTTTTAAGTTGTTGCAATTATATTAAAATTGCAAATGTTTGTATAATCCAATTATAATTAACTTTTTGCATTACAGATAAAATAGGTCAAAATCAATTCGAGACTGATGAATATGCAAAGGAAGATCAAACCCAAATGAAATCGGTAATCTAAAACTTTTATCATTTTCCTGGCGGAGGCCGTCTGTTTTCGGTTGGACTTCCTGTTTAATTTAGAGGGAAGAACTGTATATATGTTAAATAGGTCATTTAACAATAACAATGGTATACGCAACTAATTTTTAATTGATGTAAAGGAGTTCAGAAATCGAACTACCTAAACTCATTTATATGCTCTTTTACCATCAAGATTTATTTAAGATATGCAATTTCAGTTTAACCATGCTTTCTCCTACACATTATAAGTTCTATATTACCATGCATCTTCCTACAGATTATTTTACGATGCTCTAATGAGTTATACATTTTGCCAACCACCACTTAAATTACGTCCACGATACCGTTAACTAATGCGCATGAAATGCGAAAGACACACACAAGTAAACGAACTGATCCGGTATTATCAGTTATCTAGTTGAAATGGATACAAAATTATTAGCTTTTACATATTTATGAAGTATTTATTTAACTGCTAATGATTGAATGGTTTGTCAAATTATTTTTAGAATTAGAAAGCTTACTTTCGGTTCTTTTTTTTATTTTAGGTTCTTTTGTTATTTCTAAAGGTGTTGCAAATCTGTTGATTCGGCCATCATGCGGGTATTTCGTATCAACAAAACGTTGTCATAAAACTTTATATTGAAATTTCAATTTGATTAAACTTCAATTTCTTTTTTTTCTTTTCTTTAAGATAAAACGACATTCACAATTATAGAAATAAGAAAAATACATGACGGTAAAAATGAACTAAGACGGAACAAATTGAGTACAAAAAATTTTATTTTGTATTTCTTAATATTTACTTCTTTACTTTTAAATTACATGTTGTTTCTATTTAGAATACTTCGTATGTGCCAACAGATGCATATCATTATAATATTTCAAACATTTAAACGTAAAATTCCTTTATAGACTCAATATCATAACCCTTATGATTATATTACCGTGTTTCCTAAGATATGAAATGCAAAAAAAAAAGTTTTAGTTCGGCCGAGTATACTTCTTGTTACAACTCATTCAAAGCTAAAGGTACATCATGCGCAGGAAACTTGTAAATTGTCCGTCCCTTAAAAATGACGTGCATCAGTTCCATAACGTAAAATCAATAGTCTTATATGTTAAATGTTTATTAACTGCAGAAAGTAGTACTGAATGTGAAATTTGTGGTCATTAGTATTAAAAATGTAGACAAAGTGTTATTTTGACTTCTTAACAAAATACTAAAACAATACAGCTGTACTATTAACCAGAAATTAGCAAAAGCAAAGGATGGTCCGAAAAATTGGCCAATGGATAACATTTTTGAATCCATAATAAGACATCAATGATGAAAAACTTTGTAGAAATGGCAATAAACTTGAATAAAGCGTTTTTGAGTGTGTACATGTATAATTGAAACTCTAACACTCGAATGTATTTTGTAGCAAACAGTGAACTTGAATTGTAAGTAATTGTTGATTTATAGTAATTTCTTGTAATTATATTACATGATTACATTACATGTATAGCGCTAAAAATAGAATAGAACTTGGTTTTTTATGCTCTAATTGATTGTATTGGTATTCCGGTTGTGATATATAACATAAAGGTACAAAACACATTAATTTTGACAATTCAGGAACAGAATGCTAAAGGGAATAAACATCCTAAACTGAGACATGAGGTTAAAAATGAGACCAGTTGTACAACTGAACTGAATCCAAACGGTCATTCTACAACAAGGAAGCTCGGTAAGCCATTTAATTGAATATGTACAGAAAGCCCTTACATGTACATATGTATTTGTTATTTTATGAATTAAGAATAGCGCTATTCTGAATGAAGGTCAACAATATTTGTCTTACAATTCAGTTAGTGTTAAAACATTCTTATAACAATTATAGCGTGTAATGGGTACAGTCAATTGTTATTATTACATGTATATAATCATTAGAGAAATGTTAAAGAATATAAAGTATACAGCATTTGGCACTTGTATACAAAGTTTAAGTCTTATCAACCGTCTTCATGTATTCTAGGTCAATTTTCAAAGACAATTATACATAGATTTATGTTTTACATAAGTCATGTTGTAATCCAAAGAAAATTTCTATTTTACAGACAGAATTGTGTATGTATACATTAAGTCTCCAAGTGAGGTGACGAAAATGTTGAAAAGGCAATTAATGGAAACATTATATGCTCGTTTAAAGTATATAGGATTTGTGGAAATTCAAAATATAGACGACATTGAAAAAGGACCACCATTGCTTGCTCTATGTGTAAATGCAAGTAGAATGAAAACTGATGCAAGCAATGCAATAAAAAGAGTAAGAGGTAAACTACTGTTGTTTTCCTTTAATTGTTGCAAGTAATCTTTTTTCTTGCCGTCTGTCTGTCTGAATTATTGTAATAATCAAAAAGCAAAAAGATGTAATACAGCGTCTAAATGAATTGCTGAATTGCAAGTTAACACGTTTTTATTCGTGTAAGAGTAAAACTATTTTCCAAAAGTCATATTTTGTAGATATACTTTCAACTGCAAACGTTATTACTTAAAATCTTTTTATTTTAATTAACGTTCTTGTTTTATTTAAGTTGAGGTTATAAATCTTATTGATCATACTGACACATTGCTTCATTCGTTTTATTAGAATTAAAGAATACGGTGCTTGTCATCTTCCATCATGTTGAACATCATGCTGACGTGTCCTGGCAAAGCTCTCAGTCCTTGAGTGGTCAACAGTTTAGTAGATTAGCAGGAATATATGATATGGCCTTCCTTAAAGAAAAGGGTTTCTATCCATGTGATATAAACACTAAAACTGAAGACAGTATTGTGGCTTTTCTTACAAAGCAATATCCTAAACCTGAAAAGGGTAAACTTTCTTCAATGTTTTAAACAACACTATTATGTTAATCGTTCTTTAAAATATTGTATTTATCTATTGAACAAGTGTACAGAATGAATTTGCTATTTTCATAAAATTGCACTGATCGACTTTAATATTTAAATGTACCTGTTGGTAAAAGACATTTCATAAAGACAAAGATCATACAAAGAATATCATTTTATTTGTAAAGAATCATTAAGCAGAACTTGCACAGAACAAACAGTATAACGTGCTGCGTGTAATGCATATAGAATACGTTAGTAATCTGACGGAAAGCAAGCATTAGAATAGCAAGGGAAAGCAATAAAATTAACACATAAGGTAGTTCCTAAATTACTTGTTTTAAATAATTGTAATTGCATGTACTAATTTCAACTAACATGAACAGTATTTTGATGATAAATATCTAGAAAAAAGTAATCACCTGGAAGCAAGCATCAAAATCAACAAAATTTCATGAAAATTGCAGACTCGGTTATAAAGGGATAGTAAAACAGTTTAACATTTAAAGCTGCATGCCTCCAGATGAGTAAAATATTTCAATAAAATCAAATTTGAAAAATATGTACTGATATTTTTGAAAAAGTAAAATAATTCAAGATTCCAGTAATATTTTACATGTTATGTGCAATAAATGACTGATTTTTCAGTATTTACAAACTATATTTCTACTGCGTTACTAACGCAGTAAGGGGCTATTTATGCATATTTTTACCACTTTTTTGTTTTCAAGTGCCATTGAAATGAGTAAAATGCTTCTTTTTGGTTATTTCACAATATTGTACATTCAAATACATTATCAAAATTTTCATGAAAATAAGCATGAATCTGGAGGCGTGCTGCTTTAAATAACGTTTTATCAGTTGCTTAGATTTCCAGTAAAAATTTATGTGAATACCAATAACTAAACTGATTTATCATTCAATGAAAATGTATCATCACGAAGAACTGATGGCAATTCATGATAAAGTTTAATTAACTGTTGATGTGTATAGAATACGTTAAAGAACTCTAACACTTATTTAATCACTATCAAATTTAAATTTGAAATAACCAATCATTACTTGATTTATTTCGCCAATGATTGACTATAGTTTAGTTTTTGCTTCTCAAATAATTTTCAGATTAAAAACATATTTAATATTACAGATGGTAAAGTTCAGCAGAACATCCGTCGAGGTATTATCTTTGTTTCAATGCAATAAAAATCAATCAAGTTTGATTTAAGTTTAAAAATTGTCTTAAATTCCGACTTCAATTATATTATTTGATCATTATTTCTTAATGAATGAAAAAATATACAATGTAACATATTATATAATTATGATATAATTATATTGTAGCTAGTAAAATGTACATGCAATAATGTTTTATTTAATTTAAGACCCTGGTATGTTGAAATTAAGGTTGTTATCAGTGGTTGTGGTGTTGGTAGTTTTCACTCCGGATCATGACAGTAAGCCACATGGAATTCACCAGAGCACAGTTCAACAAAAGCATCGTTCCTGGGCAGGCTGTCAAGCAATTTACCAGTACTAGGTACTTTCACTTTCGCAAGGAACTGAAACTTCTGTACATACCAGAGCAGAGGTACAGTGCGAATGACCGTAGAAAGGATTTCATGATCAATCTTAGCGAAAGTGACCTGCGCCGTCCGGGAATGGGGCGCCAGATTCACAGTCCAACGCTCTTCCTATTTAGCTGACCTGACGGTTGTTACCACCCTTAAGTGAAATTCTATGTACACATGTATATAATTATGCTTCTACAATAATTTTTGCAAATCGAGAAATAAGTAAGTAAGTAAGTAAGTAAATATTTTATTAAAGTGACATGTGCAAACATAAATAATGATGACAATAAACAGTTACATAAAGGCATGCACCCGGCCCATCGGGCCTATAAGTCACATAATACTTGTCAAAACAGTAAACATGAGAACAATAAGCGAATCAATGGTCATGAGTATAGTAAATATACTGTATACAACAGTACAAGTTAGAGATTTTATTCATTTATGTATAATAATTAAAGAAATATGTAAAATATGTACTGCAAATATTTGTCCACATAATATGTTATCATTTAAATATATGCATTCATTTCTTATTGAAACAATTTCTTTAGGCTTTATAAAAATAAATTAATAATTACCTCCCTTTATTCACATGAAAATATAAATTCGGTAATGTCGTTACAAAAATGCTTTTAAGATCTTACAATATAATTGATAAATCATCATTTGAGCATTATTTTATGATATAAAACCATAAAAAATTGAGTTACATGATCTTTAATTACATCTTCATTTATTTTACACCATCTTTTTCATAATTTTATCCGATATGATTTGAAAGTAAAAAGTGATTTATATCTTTTATTAAATCTCCTTTATAAGCAATGCAGTTTTATTATCCTATCACGGGGTGAGAAAATAAAATGTGCAGTCTGGCCCTGCCTTTACTAACATTCTCAAACTGGGATAAATCTCAACTTTATTTGTTAGGCCATTGCAAATGTGTGAATATTTGAATGAAAATAATTAATCAAGAATGATTGTACATATTTTTTGCACACAGTATTTAACAAAATGCTATAAATTATTTTTAATATGCTTATTATGACGTCATAATTTCGTGACGTCATGAATTAGAGCGCATGATGTCACCCACAATAATGAATCAATATATTAAATTAATAAAAACTTTATTTGTTAGGCATGTAAGATCAAATTTTAACATAAACATTAACCAGTTGTTTTGCCACATTTATAGACATAGACATTACACGTACAGATCTTTAAATTGATTGGAATAATACCTGGCTATGTGAATATTTTGTTCCATTGTTCATGCAAATTTAGCAGAATAGCCAAAACAAGAGGTCAATGTTAATTAACATGAAGCTATAAAGCATCAAGGCTCCAAGTTGGGTGTCAAAAGTCACCCTGTCCCAGGATAAGATAATTATGGCAGCCTGACTGGGACTCGAACCCAGGAGGCCGCTTTAAACATAATTCTTAAATAA